GGTGGCCTTTGTCCTAGAAACTATTATTGCAGCTGTGACAACTGCTTCAGTAAGTTGTCAAGTACATTAAAGAAGTAAATTCATGAAATGCGCTTTGCTTTGGATTCATCTGTCTTCTGCCATTCTCAGTAACTCACTAAGTCTCATTGACCTGGGAATGTGGAAACGTGTCTGCTCTGTCCTTACTCCCCGCCACCACTGGGATGACTGTCAGAAGTCTCCCAAGGGGCTTCTTTTGTATTAATTTCAAAGCTTTCTCTGCTCTCTTAGTGATAGCCAGTAAAACACTCTTTGAATCACTTCACTTTCCTCATGGAAAACCTTCAAATGCTTCTCTTTGGTATCTGATGAAGCCTAAACGTCTCACTTAGGGATTATCAAGAACATGAAAGATATGGTCCATCTCCCAACTTAAAATTATTTTCAGCTGGGCACGGTGGCTCATGCCTGTAATCTCAGCACTTTGGGAGGCCGAGGTGGGTGGATCACCTGAGGTCAGGATCAGCACTTTGGGAGGCCAATGTGGGTGAATCACCTGAGGTCAGGAGTTTGAGAACAGTCTGGCCAATATGGCGAAACCCCTGCTCTCTTCTAAAATCCCATCTCAAAAAAAAAAAAAAAAAAAAAAAAAAAAAAAGGAAAAGAAAAAGGAAAAGAAAAGAAAAGAAAGCTGGTCAATAGAGCTGAGATTCTGCCCTATGTCAAGTCCCCTCCAGCCCCCACTATGAACCTGACTGTGCAATGGCCTTTCTGCCTCATTTTCAGGATCCAGTTCTCCAAGACAACCTACCTGGGTTCTCCACATCTCCCTAAGCATCTGTTTCCTAAATTACCTAAAAATGTACTCCCATTTCCTGGCCCGCAAGTTGGGTAAGGTGTCACTCCTATGTACACAAACACCCTGTTTTAATCATACCACGTATTTGTAATGCACATTTTTGTTATATAAGACATACAGAGAAAAATGCACGTATCATAAGTGTATAGCTCGATGAAATCAAGATCAAGCTCAAGATCAGATCAAGAAATTAACAGCACCTGGTAGGATGTCTCCCTTATGCACTCTCTCAACTCTGAGCTCTGCCTTCCTCCCCAAAGGTAATCACATCTTAACTTCCAAATCAGTTCATGCTGTTTGCCTGCTTTTACATTTTATATAAATCAAATTATACAGTCTGGGTTGTGTTTGTGAGATTTATTCCTTGTTGTATACAGCAATTATTCACTCATTTTCATTGTGTAGTATTTCAGTATATGAAACCACTCTAATTTCTTTATTCATTTTCCTATAGGTAGGCATTTTGAATGGTTCCCATTTTGGGGCTGTCATAAATAGTATTACTTTGAACACTATTGCAAATTTTTTATTGCATATATGTGCACTCTTTGGGATCTATACCGTGGAAGAGAACTATTGGGCAACAAGTTATACATATCTTCATCTTTAGCAGATACTGCCAAGCAGTTTTCCAAAATGGTGCACTAAGTTATACTCCCACTGCAAAGTATGTTTTTGTAGCTGCTTCTCATCTTCATCAATCACTGATAGTGTCTGTAATTACAAATTTTCCCTCTCTCTCCCTCTCCTTCTCCATCCCCCTATTTTTGCCTAGCATGACATCTAGAAGGTATCTTTGTAAAAGTCTGGTGAATTAATAAATGGATCACTAACAAGCTCACAGCTGTTTGCTTCTATACTCTTTTGTCACCTCTGAGGCAGGATAAAGTAATGGCTACAAGCATAGGCTTTGGGGCCAGATTACTGACCAGCTAATGACCGTTCTGTACTAGTTTCTTTACTTTTGACATCACAGCGTTGTTATGAAGAGTAAACACCTTGAGTACAGAATACTTAGAACAGCCAGGCATGGTGGCTTATGCCTGTTATCCCGGCACTTAGGGAGTTCGAGATCAGCCTGGGCAACATGGTGAAAACACGTCTTTGCAAAGAATTTAAAAAAATAAATAAATTAGTCAGATATGGTGGCATGTGCCTGTAGTCCCAGCTGCCTGGGAGGCTGAGGTGGGAGGATCACCTGAGTCCAGGAGGTTGAGGCTGCAGTGAGCCATGATTGTACCACTGTTCTCCAGCCCAGACAACAGAGATCATGTCTCAAAAACAAACAAGCAAAAAAAAAAAAAAAAAAAAAAAACCAACTTAGAACAATGTCTAACACATAATAAGAGCTCAGTAGAATTAGCTATTACAATTATAATCTGGTTCTCAGGGCCTGTATCCTATTAGAGTTCCTAGAATTGGTTAGGAAGAATCTTAGAGCTTCCCCTCTGTGAAGCCTGCTCTAGGCACCCAACCCCACAGAGAGCCTCAGGAATTCTGAAGTTCCCTTTACCCCTCGTTCACTGCCTGTCACATATTAAGGGTAGGTGCCCTGTCTCCCCAGGTGGATGGCAAATTCTGTAAGGGAGTGACTTACTTATTCTTTTTGGTAGCGGTGGTTTTACAGTCACATTTTAGCTTATGAGAATCTTAGCTAATTTGATTCCCCCAAACCCATATTGAGAGTCTACACTGGAGAGCTTTGGAGAAGACAAGTATCCCTTTTCCAATCAATTGTCTTGCTCAAAGGCAGGCTGGCTGGGGCTCAGGGAATGTGCTGGCAGGAATATGCCCCACCCCCTTAGGTAAAAGATACCTCTGTACACACATTATTTGACAGCACAGTGCTTAGTAAATATTTGTCATTTGTTTATTGATCTCTTGTTCTTTCTTGACTTCCCTGTTCTTGCCTTGTTCTCTTCCCACCCACTTGTGCTTGATCTTATCTCCCATCTGGGTGACAATGTTTGGGTCTCCTGTGGCACCTTTCGATTCTGGAGAAACACAATTCAGATCTTCTACGTGAAATGATGGACTATAATCCAATAAACCAGACTTCTACCTTCAAAAAATAAAAAATAAAAAAAGCTTTGTAACTCGTGACTGGCCCATCTGAGTTATCTGTAATTAGATTGCAGATTCCTAAGCCCAGTTGAACTGTGTTCAGATGAAAATGAGATTTAAGGCCGGGCGCGGTGGCTCAAGCCTGTAATCCTAGCACTTTGGGAGGCCGAGACGGGCGGATCACGAGGTCAGGAGATCGAGACCATCCTGACTAACGCGGTGAAACCCCGTCTCTACCAAAAAAATCACAAAAAATAGCCAGGCGAGGTGGCGGGCGCCTGTAGTCCCAGCTACTCCGGAGGCTGAGGCAGGAGAATGCCGTAAACCGGGGAGGCGGAGCTTGCAGTGAGCTGAGATCCGGCCACTGCACTCCAGCCTGGGCGACAGAGCGAGACTCCGTCTCAAAAAAAAAAAAAAAATGAGATTTAAGCACTTTTTGTTCAAGGAGGAATTCATAACTTATTGAGAATAAGAATAAGAATGAGGGGGAATATGCAATGAGTCTAATATGCCGGCATCAATCTTTACTAGGAAAATACATGCTTTGAACTCTTATTTGTCAACTGGGCCGGGTAGAGAATTGAACACATAGCTAGTGCCTGTAGAGCAGTAAGTCAACTGCAGAGCATGACCTGTGGTGAAAAGCTATTGGCTCGCTTTCATCTTCTTCCTTCATCAGAGTATGAGGGAGAACTCAGTTATCTCCAAACACCTGTTTGGCCCTTGGAAACCTTGTGGGGTAGGAGAGGGGGACTAAGGTAAAGTGAGGTGAGACTCAGGAGCAAGGATAAGAGGAAAAAAGCTCACAGCTTTCCCTTGGGGAAATCCCTGCGCAAACTGGAAGGTCAGGGTAGCAGGGGCGCAGCAGGCCTGGAGGGGGTTTGTGCAATTAAGGCAGCAGCAACATCAACTGTTTGGGGATTCCCTGATTATTTGTTAGGTATTTGTGTGGAAGGCCTACAAGAGTGAAAAAGTGCAAACACTTTGGACTCAAGATCTCCTAGGATGGTGCCACCTTGCTTTCTCCCGCAGAGCATATCACAGTGGCGTGAGCTCTAGAAGTGGGCTCTGCCACACAGCCCCAGAGCCAGAGTCTGCTGGGCCCTTAGGGTGCTAGGCAGACACTGGCTCAAAAGGCTTCAGTCCAAGCCAGGGGTGAGCTCCTCCAGGGTCCCTTTACTGAGCCCACTGTGGACTTGGGTCAACTCCAGGTACTCTCAGAAACCAGATATCCAGCCAGGTCAGCTTTTTGGGAACATATCCACTTATTTAAAACATTCTCCCCAGCACTTTGGGAAGGCGAGGCAGACAGATCACTTGAGGCCAGGGGTTTGAGACCAACCTGGCCCACATGGTAAAACCCCAGCTCTACTAAAACACAAAAATTAGCCAGGCATGGTGGTGCATGACTGTAGTCCCAGACACTCAGGAGCCTGAAGTGGGAGAATCACTTGAAACCGGGAGGCGGAAGCTGCAGTGAACCAAGATCATACCACTGCACTCCAGCCTGGGCGACAGGAAGACCATGTCTTAAAAAAGAAAAAAAAAAAAAATTCTCACCCTCTTGAGTGGCATTCTCCCAAACTCCAGAGACTACTTCTCAATTTCCATCTCAACAAACTGCTTTAAGTCTGCCTTCATCAGGCTCTGGAAGGGCAAAGAGTTGTCTGTTTTGTCCACTACGATATCCTGAGCACTCAGAACAGAGCCCAGCTCAGAGCAGGCTTTCAAATATTTCTGGAAAGAATTACCTGTTACTGAAGACAAGCCAAATGTCAGGACAAATAGTCCAACTTCACAGGACAGGCAATAAATACAGGAAGCATTACTTCATAGCCATCCTTGCAAGATGAGTAAATTGCAAAGGATTTCTTTGGATGGATTTATAAATGACAGACACCATAAAATGCTGCTAAAAAGGCCTGGAATCTAGATTGGCTTTAAGACCATCCTACACTCCCCTGGAGTCAGAAACCACTGCTGTTGGGAGCAAACCACTAAGCTGGAAATTACAGCAGGATTTTCATGGTTTTCAATTTTAAACTAACCCATCATTGCCCCCTTAACCAAAATACACAAAATAATACATGACACAATATATGTAAATATTTTTCAAGGTTTTATTGCAAACCAAAATCAGTTTATCACACACAAAAAAAGTTGTGTGATGGGAGGAGGGAAGGATTGTACATATTATAGCCATGTTAATTACAGTACATTAAAATGGTGGTTTACATTACAAATAAGCCTGTAAGTTTAAATATACTAGTGTTATAACCCAATGTACAGACTTTCTTTATACAATACATACAATTATCAGGAATGCAAAAAAAAAAAAAAAAAACCATAAATAATGCCCATTTTACAGGTGACATTTTAAACAATGAAAAACACCAACGGCTCTGACTGACAACTGGGGCATTGGTCCATAAAAACCCTTTCTAAAAATAGAAATATTTGTAGCAGCAATGCTTTCTTTAAGCATCTGAATGAGTCATTGCAAGACCATTTCAATAAATTTTAATTATTAACCATATCTTACAAAAAAGTCTACACATAAATTTATCTTCCAAATATGGAAGAAACAAACAATGTCCCACGTTGTAGTGTCCTGCAAGTGTCACATTGATGCTTATAACAAAATCCATCTGTGATCAGGCATACCACACTCACACAACTGTTCACACAGCATAGCCACAAGGGAAAATAAAGAACTGAAACACTCTGCGATAGGAAAAGCTTTGGAGCTAACACAATCTCTTCAAAAAAGGCACATTTCATAATATTCATCATCACAGCCTAGAGAGACCTGCAGGAGACCTCTCTTAGAACAGCGTCCGCCTTCTAACGAAACTCCTGCCTCTGTCTAAGGCGGCACTCTAATGCTCGTTTCAGAGATAGCACCACGTTGGAAGGAAGAATAAAAATGAAAACCTCATGAGCTCACTGAGGAGGATGTGCTCTTCAAAAAGCTTCCAGCGAACAGTGTGCAATAAGATTGCTAAGCTTCCAGAGATGTGCAAATTCTCTTGTAACATGTCCTGTCAGCTGGCGGCTCCACCAAAAGGCTAACTAAAACATTCAGAAACACACATAAAACCCTTTAAAACCAAGCCCTAACAGCGTTCAGAGGAAAGAGTCCGTGGGAGGCGCGTAGGAAAAGCCTAGGAAAGCCTCAGCAGCTTCCTTGACGCTGGCTGTGACGAGGATGCTGTCGGGGGACTTGCCGATGGAATTGGGGACAGGCTCTTCGGTAAACTCAGGGTCAAAGTGCCGCAGGTCATTGGGCCCACTCTGTGACAGGAAGGGAAAAACACGCTTGTCAAGAACTCACACTGGACACAGGACAGGGAAATCCTGACCAGGCTTTACATACCAAGTTTAAGTCTTACATCAACTTCCATAATCACCCATTTCAAGCACAAAATCTCAAAAGGCTACACACAGTTTAAACATAAGAATAACGTTCACTTTTTGCCTTTTGATGCTTTTATTGATAAATGTGCTTAAAAATTACGGGAGCCTTGTTGGGACACAAACATGTACTTTTTATGTAGGAAAAATAACGGGTTTATGGAGAAAACATCTGCCAATGTATTCCTTCCAACCCTCCCCCACACAATCCTGAATTAAAAGGAATGCCCTTTGGGCTTCACTGTACTTAGAAGAGACAGATACTCACCACATTTGGGTTAAAAGGGGGAGTAATCTTCTTATTAATGAGATCATCCCAGTTAATTAGCGAGAAGAAGACATGACTCTTAATCTCCATCTGTTGATAAGAAACCCAAGATTAACTTAGGTGCATTCAATAAGGGCAGGGAGGTCTAGTGCACGTCCCCGCTGGCCCCGGAGAACAGGAACACGTCACTCACAAAGTCATCCTTGGCTCCCAGCCGCTTCGTCCTGTCCTTCTGCAGGAGGCCCTCCAGGAGGTGTCTTGCGGAATTTGTAATATTTGGTTTCAACTGGAGGGGCTTGTTCAGAATGTTGTCGTACATTTCAGCTGTGTTTCGGCTATAAAAAGGAGGCTGAAAGAAGAGGAAAATTACTTTAGGCTTAATTGGAAGTTTTGTATGGCATATATTACCGGCAGAGAAAAAGATGTAAACTGCAATAAATACTAGGCTCCATTTGAGAAACTCTCCCCACCTCGATGCTTTCTTTTCCTTTGCTATTTAAGTGTCTACTTTGCAATGTTAATAAGCGGTAGTTTTTCACCACCACACAGGTTAAGTGTGGTCCTATCTAGTAAAATGTGAAATGCACAAAATAACTAGGTAAGCGATTATTCTTATGACATATAAAATGACCAATATGCCTCTTAGCTGCATTTGATAAGCCTACTGATAAGGGCAAGACACAATGGCCAAGCATGGGCTGTGTGAAGACAATATTGCAGGGAGCAGGTAGTGTTCCATGGTTCCCAAAGTGCCACTCACCAGGCCATACAGCATCTCATACAAGACGGCTCCCAGGCACCACCAGTCCACGGTCCTGTCATAAGGCTGCTTATGAAGCACCTCAGGTGCGAGATACTGAAAGACAGACCAGGGAAATAAGAGTTCAGAACGTGTGAAAGCAGGCAATCCCACAACCACACATTTAGTTTGAAAAAGCTAAGAGACCCAGAGCCAGCTTGGAAGACATATATCTTTAGATTCCTTCCTGATAAAACTGCTGGACTTCTTGAGGGTGACTGGCTACCTATGTGTACTAACATTTAGGAAACTGCTGGGCACTCGGTATCTCTGACTTGGGGATTTAGAAAATTTTTATGATGCAGATCTTACAAACAGCGACTTTTCAGTAAACAACAGAAGGCCTTGGGATTTCTCTTGCTACATCAAACAGCAAATGTATTTTATTTGCACTGAATTGTACTAAGAAATTTCTGAAAGGAGTTTACTCTTCTTGGTACTTCAAGGCATGATTGTACATCTCTCTCCTGGAAGGCGGGGGTAAACCAGGCACCAAACCAAGACGGCGCCTACCTCCGGCGTGCCACAGAAGGTGGATGTCGTGCTGTTGTGTTCAATGTTCTCCTTGCAGAGTCCGAAGTCGGTAAGGACAATGTGTCCCTGTGAATCTAGCAAAATATTCTCTGGTTTTAAGTCTCTGTAAAAAAGCGAATAGAAAAGTAGTTGCACAAGTTAATTTCACTTCCTAAGATATCCTCTTAAAGATAATTGCTAAAGGTATTAGAGGCATTTTAGGTTCACTGTAGTTGTATAGTGAAGAAAAAAGGGAGCCTTGTTCTCATCTATTCTGGATTAGGCACAATCCTACTTGGCTGATTCCCCCCTGGCACGAAGTCAAGCCAGCTCACGTGCTAGGGGATCTGGTTTTAGGCAACCAAGTTGCACATAAACACAAATTATTTTAAGGCCCTATGAAAGAGCCAGTGCTATGTCTCCTTTATACCCAAACAGGTAGCCTTAAGAGCTCTCAGGCTTACCTATAAACGATGTTCAGTGAGTGCAGGTAGCCCAAGGCACTGGCTATTTCAGCAGCATAGAAACGAGCCCGTGGTTCCAGGAAGCAGCGTTCCCTCTGGAGATGGTAGAACAACTGTGAGAGACAGAACAGACAGAACAAAGTCAGGCTGGGTTGCAAATGAACTTAATTAGTTTTGACATATACAGCAAAAGAACAACTGCAGGAAGCAGCCCCAAATAATCTATTAACTATAAACCTGATAGGTTGAAGGAAATGCTAATTCTGGTAACATTCTCCCCACCAAGTATCTTTGAAAACTTTCTTCTCAAACTAAAACAAAGCAGGCTATGCAGAGACACTAAGAGTTGACGTCTTCTATTCCCCCTGCTCACCTCTCCACCATTAATGTAGTCTAGGACAAAGTACAATTTGTCAGCAGTCTGGAAAGAGAAGTGAAGGCCCACCAGGAAAGGGTGTTTCACATTCTTCAGCAGAACATTCCGCTCCGACATAATATGCTTCTCCTAGGAAAATGACCATTCAGATTTAGTGGCATATTTCAACTTGGCACCAAAATTCCAAGATCAAGATTATTCAAGGAGTGTCTACCTCCAATGCCAACCTCATCAAGCACATCTCATACCTCTTTCTTTTTCAGGATTGCTTTCTTCTGTAAAACTTTGACTGCATAGAACACTTCTTCTGCCTTGTGTCTTGCTAGAAGAACCTGAAATTTCAATTAAAAAAAAAATCATTTTTCTATCCTCATCCAGGGAGAATGTAAAATGAGGACATGAAGAAAGTGTACCAAAAGATCTTCAGATTTGAAATTACCTTTCCAAAACTGCCCTTCCCAATCACTTTCAAGAAGTGAAAGTCAGATGGTTTAGCATGAGGATTGGACGATGGGCCAAGGTTGATTTGCTGAGAAGGACTTGGCTAGGAAAAAAAGAAAAGGATTTCTTTTAATATCATTGCTTCAAAGGAAGACATCTATAATATAAACGATGTAGAAGAGATGTTACATCTACAAATGACTGAGGCAAATGACCATACATCTATCTATAAACATTCAAAACTACATTTCATCACAAGTCATTTCAAATGAGTATGGAAACTGCACACAATCATGTTGTTTCGGACAGATAAAACTTTTTAATGAAATATGCCTTTTAAAATAATCCACTTTGGAGGTAAAATACGCCCATGAAAAAATAAAATAATACTGACTGAATACTTAAATATTTGTTATCACTTGTTATGCCATAAAGTAATGAAGCATTCCTGCTTTGATACTAAATTCTAGAAATGCTATTTTAAACCATTAATGCAGGAATACTAACTGACTCCCTTACAGTTCTGCACAGAGGCACTGCACATAGAAAATACTTACTGGAGGAGAAGGGTTGGCATTCATAAGCTCAGGCTCCTGAGGTTGGGAGATTTTCAAGATGGACTGAACTTCAGGGCTGCAGGGAATAAAGGGCACGATTTAGAATCCAGCTCGCCACGAGGGGGCACACCAACATCAAAAGTCAGTTTCTGGCTCTACCGTCTTCTACCCGGATAATTCTGTGTTTAAACTGAAAATATCCCAATATATTACTCAGTTAAAGAAAATAATAAACTCCGTTAAATACAGAAATAAGGATTGTTGTTCATGGAGAAAGGGCGTGAATTCGGCCGACACGAACCATTATCTTACATCTCCAGTTCAAGCCAAAACAGCAAATTAACTTTAATGCTTAAAATGTGTCTAATATATTAAAATTTAAGGAGAAAAGAGATTCCCACCCCAGAAGAAGTCTTCGCCTTCCCGATAAACGCCGTGATGAGAATGTTTACTGCTGGCAAATTCAAACCAGACTAGTTATTCTTATTTCCTCAAATCCCGTCAAACTTACTGTTTGCATGCATAGGAGTTATTGGCAATCTTCTGAATAAAGTCGTTCAGGCCCATCCTCCTTTGCTTCATGAAAGCTGTGGATTAAGGAGGAGAAATAAAGAAACGTTTAGACGGCTTCATAACGTCCGGAGCCACATACACTAATCTGATGTCGGACTTTCAAAAAATTTCCACTTTGAGTCTCCTGGAGCATAAGTCCCGCCAGATTCCTGCACTCACCGATGAGAATTGCCACCATGCCCCTCATCCTGGAGTAAGTGAGGGTGCCCTTAGCTGCCTCGGTTTTCACCGTCATCACCACCGCGGGGAGACAGGAAGACGTTAGCGCTCGGAAACCGGCTCGGTGTATGCTGCGCCGGGCCGCGCGCTCTGCCTTATAGGCGAGGCACCGCCGCGGGGGCGGGGCCTGCGCGACAATGAGAAGTGGCCCCGCCCTTCGCCTCGCCCCTCCCTCCGCCCAGACCGCCTCGCGGTTTGCTGGCAGCAGTGCTGCCTGCGGCGGGCGGTTCTGTCCCCATTGAGAGGGCGAGCCCCGGGCAGGGGCACGAGGACCGTCCGGGGAGGGCCTGGCGCGGGGCCGTTATCAGCCTCCATCGGACCCGAGGCAGGAGAGAGGGAACGCGCCAGCGGAGGGCGCGGGGAGGGCCGGAGAGCCCGGGGTAGTTTTCCACCTCTTCTTTATTCCGCCGCCCGAGAAAGCCGGGGTCACAGCGCCGAGGCGCTTCCCGGCGTGTGCGCGGCGGCCACGGTGGCTTCGCTTACTCCTTCCCTGCAGATTCCCTTTCCCCGGCCTGGCGCCGTCCTGCGGCCGGACCCCCACCTCCCTTTCCAGCCCAAGCCGGCGGTGCGCGCCACCCTCTGGGGTTTATCTCTGGGGCGCAGAGCGAAGCGCGCGACCTTGCCTGCCGGGTCCTCCCGTTCCCGCCGCCGGGACCCCGGCTCCCAGAACTCCGACGAAAGCCTGCCCCTGCCGATGAGCCCGCGAGCCGGGCAGGAGCCGAGCCGCTCTGGGGAAGTGAGCCAAGTCCCCAGCGGGGCCGGCGACCGCGCTTACCCAGTCCGCTCAGCAGGAAGGACTCGCTCCTTTTCTGCGCCTCGGCCCTCTTTTTGTGGCGGGGCCGCAGCAGGGACTCGAGCCGGGCCCTGGCCAGCGCGCCCTGCATCTCCCCCATGGGCAGCGGGCAGCGGGCGGCGGGGCGCACGGCAGGCGAGAGCGACCGGCGAGCACTGACGTTTCCTTGAAGGAGCCGCCGTGACTCAGGCCGGGCAAGATTTCCTGCCCCGAGTCCCAAAACAAACAAATGGCCCTTGTGCACGGTCGGGTCGCTTCCGAAAACGCCTTTTTTGTGCTTTTGGCCAAAACCAAGCAAGGCTGAAAAATCCCAGAACTTGGAAGAGGAGGAAGGAAGGAAAGAAAGAGGGAAGGGGGGGAGGGAGAGGTCAGGAATGTGGAGGGGAGGGGGCGGAAATAAAAGTCGTCTCTGCTCTAAAGGAAAAAGTACAATCTGCATTTCACTTTTTTTTCTAAAGTAATCTCTGAGAACATTTTGTCCGTTCCGCATGTAATTTTTTTCCTTGCATTTTTAATCTCTGCCATGCCAAGAACACGTGAGGAGGTAACAAGCGAAGGGAGGGGGTAGCTTTGCCCGGAGACCGACCTGGCGTGACCCGGGCATCCTCGATTCCTCTATGGGGCCTGCTTCTCTCCCGCTCTCCCACCTGAAAACCCTGCAGGTCACGATACATGATCTTAAAATCATCCCTACTCCTCCCTGGATTTAACTCAAGGCTGCCCCAGGGCTTGTCTTCGAGGTGGCAACCTCGCTCTTTCTCTCGAGTCCCACAGAAACTGTGACTTTATCCTGAAAGATTAGCCGGGTGACCCCGCTGCAGAAGGCAGGGCAGGGAAGGGAGGGAAGCTGGAGGCGGCGGCCCGGGTTCTGCAGAGCAGCGATGCCGGTGCCTTCCAGTAACCCCGCGACTGGGGGATGTCTAGGACCGCAGGCTGACCGCCGGCGCGGGGACGTGAGCCAGTGCTGGCTGGGAAGCCGCGAGCGCAGCGATTGGGCCCAGAGCAGGCAGTTACAAGTTACCACTATTCGCAGGGCCAGGTACCTGGCGCTCGCTGTTGCTGTCTGCGGTGGCTGCCCTGCCATGACCTCTTGCTGCCAAGTGCTCTGCCATTTTAAAGTTGCCTACTGGATCTGGCACAGTCCCGAAATACCAGCTGTCAAACCAGGAATAGCATGTGAAACGCCTTTTCCTTGGTCTTGGGCAGGGGTTTGTTTTGCAGGCAAAACCACCCCCACTTGCCCTAAAGTGATCTCTAGTCTCAACTGCTTCTTGGTTTGCTTTGTTGCCACAGTCCCAAACCGAGAGAAGAGAAACACACATTCTCTTTCCTGGAGTCTGGCTGGGAACGTTTTCTTAGTGCCCACACTTAAAAAAAAGCACTCACTGGGGACGGGTGCAGTGGCTCACACCTGTAATCCCAGCACTTTGGGAGGCCGAGGCAGGTGGATGACGAGGCCAAGAGATCGAGACCATCCTGGCTAACATGGAGAAACCCCGTGTCTACTAAAAATAGAAAAATTAGCCAGGCGTGGTGGTGTGCGCCTATAGTCCCAGCTACTCGGGATGCTGAGGCAGGAGAATCGCTTGAACCCGGGAGGCGGAGGTTGCCGTGAGCCGAGATCGTGCCACTGCACTCCAGCCTGGCAACAGAGCGAGACTCGTCTCAAAAAATAAAAATAAAATAAAATTTAAAAAAGCACTTACTAGTACTTGAAATTGACATGCCAACCTAAAGCAATGTTTAGGCAATTTCAAATCACAGTAACTGGCCTATGTCTGCTTCCTTTTGCACAGAATCGTCATAGAATATGACTTTGTTATTGCCAATGGCACCCATACGTCATGTCCCACCATTCAACTAGCCTAGCTCAGCCTAGCCCTGCTCCCACCTGGTTCCTTCTCCTGTCGAGAGAGCAAATTGTGCTCAGGCTGTCCAGAAACATCAACCTGCACACAGACTTTTGCATGTTTGTTTTCAAACATTAAATTAAGAAATCTACAACCAGAGACCCTCTCCTACACCCCACCTTATGTGCCTTCCCCATGTCAAGTAACCCCAAATCCTCTGAGGCATCTGCAAAATATAGTACTGTAAGTACGAACCTTTCAAAGGGGATTTTATAGCTGCTTCTTTCATTCTTCGGGTTGCCCAAGGATATGCAGGTTGGGGATTACTTCTGGAGGCTGGAGGTAGAGCTCAGTTATGGCTGAAGTAGGCTTCCCTGCTACATGCCTCTGATAAGCTGGAAGCTCTGAGATGACATGAGAGCACGAGCCAGAGGCGGCTATCCCTGTTCTGTTATGAACCCCACTTTATATCAAGGCAATTTAAATACAGGAAGGGAGCAAGCTGCAAAGTTCAACCCTGGGCCATTTATTCTCCCCATTGCAACATCACTCAGAAAATTACAGTCATCAGCGTCCTGGCTTTATTACACCCCCAGCAAGACACACAAGAAATGTAACTTAACTGATTATCCTCACAAATCAGTCCAGAAAAAATTCAAAACACATGCACAGGGTTCATTTTCTCAAAGAGGCTCTGTGGCATGCATTCCGGGAGGAACATGGAATTCAAGTCAGAAGGCTCTACGCGGAATAGAGAATAGATGCAACCGTATGATTTGTGGTTGGAAAAGAAAGGGAACGTCTGATGTGCTTCTTCCTCCCCTACTCTAATGTTCAGCACTTGGAGACGGATGGTCGGCTAAACTTATCATTTAACCGAGAGAATCAAGTTGTTGAGACTGGCTTTTCTTCCAACCGGATACCTGATGGGTGGAGCAGGCGCCCCCTGTTCGGTCCCAGCAACCTACTAAGACTTCCGAACAGGAAGGTGACACACGGCAGAGGGGTGCTTGGGGAGAGGGGGAGACGGGGGAGCTGTTTGTGACGCGCGCCTGTTAACACTGCACAGGCTTTAGGTTGCCCTGTAGCTGCTATTCAAACGCTTGATCTGTCCTTCCTTCCTGTCGCCAGCCTCTTTCTTTGGTCCAGATAGTCCTCCTACTGGGAGGAATCCGGCCCCTTTCCTCTTACTCCCTGGTGGCGAAGTGGTCAGAGTAGCCTCGCGAACTGTTTGTAAATGCAACCTAGAGGGCGATCGAGTTCTCTGTCAGAACTTGCTCTGTATACGCGACTTCCCCCACTTGTCTCCTGAGATTCTACTGGTCCAGAGAACTTCTCTACAACGCCTCGTGCAGTCATAGAAAATATAGACGGCTTGATATGAGATAGGCTAATTACTTCCCCCACTCCTCCGAACGAATGGTCTCACATTTATGTCTCGGTGCTGGGAAAACTGCAGTCAAAAACCCTCAAGTGGGAATGATTGACCACGATAAAAAGCTTGCACTGAAACTAAATGTTTCCCAGTGCATGTGCATTTTAATGCTTCAGAAAAAATTTTTTTCACTCTTCGATTGTATTCCCCTATAGTCTGATGGACTCTCAATGCTAAAACCTGAGAGCTTCACAAAGATACAACTTTTTCCATTTAATTTTAAAAGGCTTATAAATTACTGATATTTCTCAACATATTAGAGAAAATATTTTGAAAAATATTTTTATAAGGACTTAACCATATTCACTCTTAAGACACTTCTTAAATGTATCAGCTGTAATGTTCATGATTCCCCGTGCATGTTATCTTCCACTGATAACAAGGCAATATAATTGTTTCATATTGTTCAAAGTACCATCAATTTTAGAACAATCCTATGCAGAGTTGAAGTTCCCATACTTTTTGATTCATTGTTTGATGCGCATAAAAACCTTTCCCTGGAACACCCTCAAAACAGCACATAGAAATACCAGAAAACATAATTATTATAATTATAGAAAACATAATTATTACTCTAGAGAGAAACTGAATGGATCAGTTTTTGTTGAAGGTTGTCAGCAAAGCCATGTCTTTTTTTTTTTTTTTTTACAATATTCATCCAACAGAAAATGATGATGAGAAATGAGTTTATTCATTATAGCTATGATAGACAAGTCA